TACAGGTAAGAAAAATGAAGCAAAGTGGTATTGTTCAGTATCAACAAACATTATTGAGAACCCGATATGGGCTAGGTACAGGGGACACAGTGATGAACCAGTTACAGTTCCAGCCTTATAAGCATGCCAGCAAAAAAGTAAACTATGATACTGTGAGAGACGTGCTTTATTCGATATATAAAACAGAATACAGAGCAAGAGTACAAAGAGGAAAAACAAAGAGAATGGATACCTAACAGCATAGAGGAGCAGAGGTGAGTTTGCAAATGGTTCCTAGAGAAAGAGGGTGGCAGTTGGCCAGGCCTGGTGGGGACTGAGTTTGGGAGGGCATTTCAGACCAAGCAGAGGGTAACATAGATACAAAGACAGGGATATGTTGTCATTGGCATAAATAAATGAGCTTCCTTTCCTGTGATTGTCAGGGAACATGACATGAATCTTAAAATTATTTTAAGTTCAAAGTGAAGACATTTTATTTTATTTTTTAAAGATTGTTTTTTGGAGTGCCTGGGTGGCTCAGTCAGTTAAGCGTCTGCCTTCGACTCAGATCATGATCCCAAGGTCCTGGGACCAAGCCCCATCTCAGGCTCTCTGCTCAGTAGGAGCCTGCTTCTCCCTCTCCCTGCCACTCCCCTGCTTGTACCCTCTCTCTGTCAAATAAATAAATAAAATCTTAAAAAAAAAAGATTTTGTTTTTAAGTAATATCTATACCCAACCTGGGGCTTGAACTCACAACCCCAAGATCAAGTGTTGCATGCTCTACCAACTGAGCCAGCCAGGGGCCCCAAAGTGAGGACATTTTGAATAAGTTAAGGCTAAAACTGCTATATGTCATTATCTGTAGTGTGGGAGTAAGATTGGGGAACATAATAGGAATAAGTTTGTGAGGCTGGAGTGAAGGAGTACCCAGTTAACTTGGAGATAAAGTAGGCCACATCAATGGGGCAGTGAGAGGGCATAGAAGAAGGGGGAAGGAGTCATGAGGGTATTCTCCATTCTAAATCAGCAAGGTTAATTAACACAATAAAAACTAAACTCTCTCCCTAACCTCAGCTGTCAGGACTCCAATCAGGAGTTTTGGTCATGGCTTCTGCTCTTGAAGGTTAAGTACAAAAATGTGCTATTAAGACACCACACGGGACCCATGTCTACTATTTATTATCTCATTCGTCATTTTCCAAATAGGTTATTTTTGCTCCACATTGGGACAAGTATTCTTGTGATCACGAAATAAGAAAATGTTAGCCAAAATATTTTAAATCTCTTAAGCCTGTGGATTTGCGCATTAATTAATTGTTCCTATTAAAGTTAATGCGGTGAGCCAAAGGTAGGTTATTTCAGCCCAGTGCTCAGTGTTTATCTCTGCAGGTCACAAAGTCCCCCCCATCCTCCGCAAATGATCTGGACTTGCAGTTTGAACACTTTTCTTCTCCTTTTAATGACATTATCCCATGCTCAGTGTAACCACTGAAGAATGCTAGGTTAAGGGCAGCAGGCTTACCCAAAGCTGAGGGTATTAGTAAGCACCATTAATAAGCACCAACAGAAATTAAATGGGCTGTGGGAGACTTGGTCACAGTGTCTACCACTGACTTTACATTTTGTACATTGCGGAAGAGGCATCAGAAATACCGTAGCAGGATTTATTAGATGACATAAAGAACATGGCAAACAAGTTTTCATATTTGATCCTGATTACAAGACACACTGGTGAGGCTCATTAAGAATGAATATAAAGGTCAACCTCTTCTGACTATTTGTGTTAGAGCAGCTCAATCTATAGAAAGGAAGTGGAATTTTCCTAAAGATATGATTAATGTGATGCCAGGTTCCTTTTAAGCCCTTTTACAGAGTCCTCTTTTCTTTAAACTAAAGAGACGGCTCAATACTTTTCAGGGTTTTTTTTTTTTTTTGGTACTGAAAATAACAATTTCTGTGTCCTGATCATCCTATATGCATAACGCTTTGTGCCTTACATTTGTTTGAATTGCATCCCATTGACTTTAAACACTAAGGTCAGAGCACTTCTGGAATGGAAACATGAGGATCTCCCCATATATTCTCCCCAGTGAAACAACCAGAACTGGTGACAATTATAAATAAAAAATGACCATTGTGACATACAATATCAATAGCATAAAGGACAAAACCACAGGATTATCTCAATAGGTAGAGAAAAGGCGCTAAACAAACCCCAACACTCTTTCAAAATAAAAATAATCTGGCGCCTGGCTGGCTCAGTCGGTAGAGCACGCGACTCTTTATCTCCGTGTCTTGAGTTCAAACCCCATGTTGGGCACAGAGCTTACTTTATAAACAAAGAAAGAAAGAAAGTCAACAAACTAGGAATAGAAGTTCCTCAACCTGACAAAGGACATCTGCAAAAAAAAAAAAAATCTAGAGTAATCACATCTGATGGCATAAGACTGAAAATTAGCCACATGAGATTAAGAGCAAGACAAAAATGTTCACACTCTCCTCTTTATCCAACAAAGTACTAGAAATTCTAGATAATGCATTCAGGCAAGAAAAAGAAATAGAAGGCATCCAAATTGGAAAGAGGTAAATCAATTTGTATTCTAAAATGGCATAATCTGGTGTATAGGAAATTCCAAGGGATCCACCAAAACACTATTAGAACTAATAAATGAGTTCAGCAAGCTCGTAGGATACAAGATGTGTGCAAAATTAATTTTCTATACACTGGCAATGAATGATCAAAAAATGAAATTAGGATGGGAATGTAAATTGACACAGCCACTATGGAAAACAGAATGGACATTCCTAAAAAAATTAAAAATAAAAAAGAGAACTATGATAAGATGCAGCAATCTCAGTTCTGGTTATTTAGCTAAAGAAAACAAAAACACTACCTTGAAAAGATATCTGCACCCCCATGAAGCATTATTTACAATAGCCAAGACACGGAAACACATATTTACTATTTATAGATTCTTACTGATGACAAAAGTAAGCAATAAGCCTCCTCTGAAAATAGTAATTACCTTCAGAGCATGCTGAGGCCAATGATGAAGGATTTTTCAAACTGTTAAGGATCCAAAATAAAAAGCTTTTCACGCCATACCTTTTTAAATTCTCATTTCCCATATAACGTAAATTTCCTTTTCTAGAGGGCACCTGGGTGACTCAGTTGGTTAAGCAACTGCCTTCTGCTCAGGTCATGATCCCGGGGTCCTCTGATGGAGTCCCACATCTGGCACGCTGCTCAGCTGGGAGCCTGCTTCTCCCTTTCCTTCTGCCTACCACTCCCCCTGCTTGTGCTCTCTCTCATTGTCAAATAAATAAATCAAATCTTTAAAAAATTTTTTTTCCTTTTTTAGAGCATTATATAATCTTTCAAATGTCACAGCATACTAAATTTTCTATTAATCCAATTAAAATTTCACAATCTCACTTCAGAAATAGTTTATATTTCATAGCTAATTGATTCATATTTAACATGTTGATGCGGTCCCTAATTCCCAATACTCTGATACCAAGTCTTTCAACAGGAATTTTTATTAAGAGTTTATAATCCAGGGGCCCCTGGGTGGCTCAGTCGCTTAAGGGTCTGCCTTCAGGTCCTAGGAACCTAGGATCCAACCCCTCCTCCCACAACTCCCTGCTGCTGAGTGGAGAGCCTTCTTCTCCCTCTCCCTCTGCTGCTCCTCCTGCTTGTGCTGCTCTCTCTCTCTCTCTGTCAAATAAATACATAAAATCTTTTTTAAAAAGTGTTTATAATCCAAGTTTGTAGCAGTTGAAGGACATCATGTCAGACTGTCAGACATAACTGATGAGTCAATCCTCCAATCCTATTTTATCATAGTAGAGAAAGTTATTTCCTTGATTATTCCAGCCTTTTTAGCATGTGTTGGTGCCAGGACTGAGGCAGGAGCTGGATTCCTGCTACCTGTAATTGCAGTATGTGACAGAGCCAAGATCAGTGGAAGGTCAGAGACTAGGCTACAAGGTCGGATCGTTTATACTGTAATCTTTGGCAAGGCAGTGCTAGAAAAAAAATTTTAAAAAATGCTGATGGATGGATTGGATAAATACTGTGCACCTGTGTCATGCGATGGCACTATACAAGGGCCTAGGTATGGGGGCTGCAAAGAAAGAAATGTCGGTCTTTCATCATACCTTCTAGTTGAGTTTCCTCCTTTATTACGTTCATTATTACATTTGTTACATATGTTATTAAATTCTTTCCATAAAAGAGCTTGTGCTGAGCCGGTAATCAGTCTTGTTTCCCAAAAAGGCGCTATATAATTGCGATGGTTTATGCAATTGGAAGGAAGAATTCATCAGGCAACAAACTGTAGATCGTGACGAAGCCCAATCATTTCCAGTGACCTCAGATGCCCAAGCTACATTCAGGATTTCCAAGCCGAACACTCCCGGCGGCGTGCAAGCTGGAGACAGACTCACTCGGCTAGAAGGGGAGGATGGTTTCCTATGTAAAGAACCTCCAGTCCCAGAATCCCATCGGGACTCCAAATCCCAGAAAGCTGGCAGGGCAAATCTATCCCAGTCCCTAGTCGGCTGACCGCAGACGCGACCAAATTAGGAAACCGGGGTGAGATGCCGCAGCCTTTGTCCCTAATGTTTTCCCTGCAGGAAGGGGGCTTTTTAGGGAGAACTTTGGCATTCTCTCGTCACAGCTTCCAGGAAAGCCTCCCTCCCGGCCTATTTGATGTGAGAGCCAGCGTCTCCCATCCTCTCTCCCCCTTTTCCTAGCCCCCGTAAGAATGGTTCAGCCGGGCGGTGAGGCTCCTCGAGGTGGATCGATGGTTGCGCCCGCCCTCCCCCGGAATGTGGGCCTTTGGAGCTAGCGAGGTGGGAGGGACCGAAGAGGGGAGGCGTGCTGGGCCCGGGCGGCGGGAGGAGCCGTGCGGTTCCGGCTGCCCCGGCGAGGCGACCCTTGGGTCCGCGCCGCGGGCGGAGTGGACAGGTAAGCAAGCGGCAGCCGCGGCTCTGGAAGAGGCTCGGGCAGCGGAGACCCCCCTCGGCGCCCGGCGCGCCCCCCGCACCCTCGGCCTCCGGCTTTGAGGCGGGGGAGTAAGGAGATGCCGACTCAGAGGGACAGCAGTACCATGTCTCACCCGATCGCAGGCGGCGGCAGCGGGGACCATTCTCACCAGGTCCGGGTGAAAGCCTACTATCGCGGGTGAGTGTCTCAGAGTAGGGGTGGGGGTGGGAGGGGAGGGGAAAGGCCCTCCCGACTTGGACTGGAGGAGGGGAGGGTGAGGGGCTGGACATGTGGGCGAATTGGCCCGGGCGGGCGACTCTAGGGACTCGGGATCGGTCGGAGTGGTCGGGGGAGGAGCATGGGGCGCTACGTTGGGGCACCCCAAGGTGTGTTGCAGGGCGCCCGGGAGTCGCGCGGCTGATGGTCCAGCCTAGGGTCCGAGGGAGGAGTCTTGGAATAGAGCACGTCCACCTGGTGGGTTCGAGAGAGACTCGCCTACTAAGAGATTTACAAGGGCTTTACGTCATTAAGTCTGGATGTGTTTGGGGTTGAGAGTTGATTCCGAGTGATGCCTCAGTGAACTAAGTTTGCTATGGGCTTAAAAGACAGTACTACTTTAGTTTGCTGGCTCTTTTGATTACCAGAAGGCCTATAAAGCCTCTGGTTCTCTTAAGTCAGGTTTACCTTCCTCGCCTAGAAGAGTTCACAAAGTGTATCTGGACTATGGTCAGGCTGCCTGTGTATTAGACATAGGAGTTATTATTTAAGAGTAAAGTTGAACCGTTTTTAGGGATGTGCATTAGGTGCTTATGTCTCGCCAAGATTAGGTTGTATATGTGTAAATTAAAAATTTGTGAATGCTGCTTTGTCAGTGTTGCTTCAAGGACCATTTGATGGGGGGAAACACTGCAGGGAGAGAAGAGGACGAACAGAGGTTCTAAAATCTGTGATCTTTACTCATATTGTTATCCAAGTTATAACTCCTGTGCTTACCAGGAATAATCCAGTCCTAATATTGTGGTATTAGATCATGTTCTATAATCAGTGACCTGAAATATCCCCCTTCCCTTGAATTCAGTTGTGGTTTGAAATATGGGATAATTACATTTAGTAGCATTAGAAAGGTGAAATGTTAGTGTGAACATGAAGATTTGAAGCTAAGGGTTAACTGAAAACCCAATGGCTTTGGCCTGTCTTACTATTTGTCCAAGCAGAAGTAAGTTGCTTAAAAAAAAACAAAACAAAACTCAAGCACTAAGAGGTTGAAACTGCGTTGCATACTTTTACATTCCTGAGGGGATCAGGGAAGATAGCAAACTTTCAAAACGCCTCTCTTGTTTTGATTTCGAAGGAAATAGAAGGCCTAAAATGTGTTATCGGTTTATGTAACGACTTACTAGTTCGCTTGCTGCCATGTAGCCTCTGACCTCTTATTAGCTTGACTGTATTCAGCAGTAGTTTACAAGAATTATTTTGGACAGTGTCAGTGTTTTTGCTTAAATTGATCAAGGAGGTCTTCATTTTAAAACAATACCAAGAAGTGTGTGTATGTTTTTCAAAAGTTTGTAGCAGTCACAAGAACTGTTTTGACTTGAATATGGTCAGCTATGAACTTTGGACTGTGGCGGAAAGAAGCTTTGCTTCCTTTACCTTACCTTTAATTTGATAGATGAGATATTTCACTTTTTTTTTTTAAGAATATTGATTGGACATACAGACTTTTTTTTTAAATAAGATTTTATTTATTTGACAGAGAGTGAGAGAGCACAAGCAGGGGCAACAGCAGAGGGAGAGGGGAAAGCAGGCTCCCCGCTGAGCTGGGAGTGGACTTGGGGCTCAATCCCAGGACCCTAGGACCATGACCTGAGCCCAAGGCAGATACTTAACCGACTGAGCCACCCAGGAGCCCCTCACTTTCCATTTTATAAAGTTGACAGTCCATGAGTTATTAGGCCCAGAGAATGAAATATATAGTGGGTGTTTTTTTTTTTAAGGTGTCTCATTATTGACAATTTAAAAAAACTGGATTAAATGAATATACTCACATGGTAGGAATGTGCAAATTGTACAGAGGTATAAAAAAAGTGTCTTCCATCCCATCATCCCAGCTTCCAGAGGTATCCTGTTGACAGTTTTTCTGTTCTTCTGGAGGTTGCCTTTATTTAAAAGTTATACTTCTGTTACATGATTCAACTTTAGATAGTACCTATTAATCCCATCCTCTCAAAGATGAGAAATAGGGTGAATACTACCTTTTGCTTGCTCTTCTCCTGGTTGGTGCATCTCAATTTTTGATAGTTAAACTATTATTTTCAGTTCTCTGGTTTACATTTATGACTTTAAACAATGTAAATTCTTGTCTTATTAAATTTAGATAGTTTGCAATGATTTTAACTATGAAGAGGAAGAAATTTAGTTTCTCCCCATTTTTACTGGTTTGATAAATGTAGATAGGCCTAGTTAGCAAATTAAAATTATTATAAACTTCTCCTTTGGAAAGAAATCAGTCTGTTATATTTTAGTAACGTAGGTGTCATATTGTCTTGGCTTATTGCTACAATTATTTTTATAAAAGAGAATAAAAAAGGACATATAACCCTTTTAGTGCCTGACTAAAATTTCTCCAAGACATTCAAGTTAACATTTTGCTTTTTAAAATCAATGAATTTTTGCTAAAAGAGTGAAACAATCAAACCCTTGCCCTTTATTGCTTTTTATTCATTGAAAGCTTTCTAACAGTGCCTTCATTTCAAGCCTCATTTAAAGACAACATCAGCACTCTCTAAATTGTACCAATTTCTTTCCCCTGAAATTAGATCTGTTAAGATTATATGTTTATTAACAATAGTCTAACCTGGTGGTTTTGATATTACATAGTCAGCTGCTCATTACTACAGATGAAACTAAAATGAGTCACCAGTGAGGATAGCTAATAAACAGGTTGGCTAACTAGAACACCTACCTGATTTTAAAATAGAAAATCCTTCCTTTATATCAAGAAATGTAAGGACAATGTGCATTTGAAAAAAGTTTCTTTTCTTTCAGATCTTATGAAAGGTCATTATCAGAAAGTTTTCTCCTTATCCCCTTCTAACAGTATTTCTTTCCAGTGAACATTGAATCTTGGAATAGCCAGAATTTTTTTTTTTAAGATTTATTTATTTATTTATTTGAGAGAATGGAAGAGTGAGAGGGAGAAGCCGACTCCCCGCTGAGCGGGGAGCCCGATGTGGGATTCGATCCCGGGACTCTGGGATCATGACCTGAGCCGAAGGCAGACGCTTAACCAACTGAGCCACCCAGGCGCCCATAGCCAGAATTTTTTAGTGACTAAATTGCCTTCTTTCAAAGGTGTGTATAGTGTTCTCTCATTCAGTTAAATTTGTTCTTAGTGCAAATGTGATGTCCCTCTAGATATAACAGAGATTTAATTAGATTTGTTTCTAGTTTTTAAGCAGGAGATTAATAACATTGAGAATCTGACTGTATTGGGGTGCCAGTTGGTTAGTCGCCTGACTCTTGATTTTGGCTCAGGTCATGATCTTGGGGTGGTGAGATCGAGACCAGTGTGGGGCTCCATGTTCGTTGGGGAGTCTACTTGATATTCTCTTTCCCTGCCCCTCTGCCCCTCCCCCCAGCACGTACTTGAACTTTCTCTCTAAAATAAATAAATAATCTTAAAAAAAAAAAAAAGAATCTGACTGTGTCACAGCCTATACACCCTTCTTTCCTTGACATGGGAGCTTGTCCGTGAGTGGCCTTCCTTCTTCAATCATTACCTAGTAGTGTTAGGAGGAAGAGAAACAGGTTTTGTTGGTTAGTGATAAATTGCTATTGTATGTGCTTTTCCTTATATTAAAGTTACTTGATATTGTGGGATAGAGTTTAACAAGATGTCTGGACTACTTATTTCATTGTACGTTATAAATGTATGGGAAATTTTGTAAAAAGTTCATAAAAATGCTTTTTAAACCACTGCCATTGAACGGTTTTAACAATCTAGAGGATTCTTTCTGTGCACGTCTACAAATAGGAGGAGATTAACTCCTTGTATATTTGGATTGTATAGCTGGCTCAGTGAAGAAGTATGCAGGATTTTTCTGTGAACAAGTCTTGGCAAGACTTGTTTTTAAAAGTATTGCAAAATAATTTCAGCAATATAAAGCATATCTCTATAATGTTCTAAGGAAATACAAATAGTATATTGAGTTGGGAGTTGAGAGAATGTTAATTATTGGTCCTGGAGCTTCTGGCATGGTACCTAACCACAGGACAACTGATCATAGCTTTATCAGAGGAAGAGAAAGGACTTGGTGGCCTGGTGCCAAAAACCAAAACAGCTCTCTCAGAAATTTGAATCAGATAATATGGAGATAAATTGCTTGTTAGCAGTGAAGACTGGAGCTGAAGAGTTAAGGGAGAGGCTAGTGAGGCCAAGACCAACCATGTGCAAACGTCAGGTCTGAGAAAGCAGAGGAGAAAGAAGCAGCTTTCTGCAGAAAAAATTCTTCCTGGAGATCCATAATAGCTTTCTAATACAACTCCCAATCCTCTTGTTAAGGTAACTTGAGTGTTTGGGTTTTTTTTTTTTTAATGGTTGAAATGAGCATAATTAAAACCTGAATTTTTAAAATTCCAGTCTTGCTTAGGATTCCACATATTACCTAAAGTGTGTTTAAACTCACTTTAATAAATATTGTTGAATACCTACTGCCTACTCTAAGGTAGGCACAGGGTGCTAGGGTGGACACAGAGGGTGTAGAGGTGAATAAGCTAAGGCTCTGCCCTCAAGGGACTGAGAAACTTCTAGGAGGAAAGACATAGAAGAGTTAATAAAGGAGTGTGTATATGTTTATGTGTAAGGTGCTTGCAGGGATGGATACTGGGGAGGTGTTTGGGGTTTAGGGAAACCTTACTAGAGGATGAAATGTTTGTGGCTTTTAAAGGGTAAATAGGTTTGCCTGGTTGATGAAGATGTTGGGTGGGGGTCATTCCAGGCATTGCACAACTGTGTGGTATGTTTGGGGAATTCAGATCAGTTTAGTTGTTAGTCCCATAGTCATTCCTTATTAGGACACAGAGTTTGAAGTGGGCACTGATAAGAAGTGAGGCTAAGAAGAAGGCTCACAAGCACTACTCGTGAAGATTCTCGAATATCATACTTTGGGTTCGGACTTTTTTCCATTGGTGAGGGTTTT